AGTTTGGTCCCCATAAAGGACTAGTGTTGCAAGCAACGCTTTTTCGGCAATTAGGGTGTTGTGCAGCTATTTAATGTGGTGAAAATTATTTAAGCACTGGAGAGATTTATTCACATAGAATTGGAGATAGGGCTGATAGATTTATTTTAAATAAATTGTGAATCTGCGAAAATATCTTTTCAGCAGATGAATATACTTTTTAACCTTTTTCCCGAAAATTTACATACAGGCTCGAAAACATGCGAGTAACATTAGGTTTGTATAGTAACTTATCCAGTAAAACATTGCAGCGAGAGCGTAAAAGCAAAATAGAGCGTAAAATTGAGAAGAAGAGAAAACTAGCAGAAGAGGTTATTGAACACAAAACTAGCAAAAACTTACAAGAGAACAGTTGTTGCACTGCTTTGACAATCTGCTGTAAACATTTTACTATTTATAAATCAGTTTTAAACTCTTTGCTTTACACACAAGCACTTACACTGTCCAGTACATCATTAATATTATGATTTCCACTCATTTTACTTTTGTTTGTGCCAAGGCGAATCAATATAAGGTGTTAGCAGGAGTACAAAAACAAAAATTTACATGTATTTTGTTTTTGCTTTGGCGGCATAAACTGTCAAAATCTGTAAGTGTGTGTAGAAATTCAAACAAAATTTTTCAATTTGATATCAGATATCAGAAGCCGTGCGGCGAAACACATACACAAAATCAACTGAGCTAGTAACACCACTTTTTATATATTCTTTTGACATTTATCGTATTCGACAAAATTTTATTAAACTCCTAAATGGTTGACACTAAATTAAAAAAATAAAAAATTTAAGAATTTCAGGAACTAGTACATATCGTTCTCCGACACTTTGGAGAAAATCTGTAGTCTAGTTCCTGAGAAATTGCATTCCAAACTTCAATCGTGAGTTACCGAAAGTAACTTGTGACAATCTTTTATCCAGGGATCTACATAAATTATAATTGTCATTATTTTCGCAGTTGGAGTATATGCCAGACGAGTAACAGGTATATACATACAAGGATACCTAAATTAGCGCGTTGAACTTGTTTATTTATCTCTCTCCAACGCATTAATTCTATATACGTAGGTACCAACGCCTGACAAAGTTATGTCTAAATTTAATAATGGCTCTATGACAAAATATTCATGGAATGTATTCGTAGATTTTTATTTACTTCATTTCATACATTAGCATTGATGTTTTGTTTTTCATACATTAGTATTGATGTTTTTTACTAAATACCAGGAATAAATATTTAATAAAAAACTATTTCACTTAAGCTTAACCAACTTTTAGTTGCTCGGAGCTAATTTTGGAAAATACGAAATATTTTCATAGACAGTAAATGCAACCCTGGGTGCATCATTAACGAGCTGAAAAACCAAACAAATAAAAAAATTCCATTTTTACAGTTTATGCCGCCAAAGCAAAAACAAAATATATGTAAATTTTTGTTTTGTACTCCTGCTATCACCTTATATTAATTCGCCTTGATCTGAACCAATATTCCCAAAAATTATAAAGCAAAACAAAACCCATTTTTTCCAATTTATGCACTGTTATTTTTATTATTGCAATACAATTTCGCAGCTCTTCAAACATTTTCCACATTATGCTTTTAGGGCTTGTAATTTCCGACCCCATTTTTTTTTTTTCAATTCTGAATTTAGGCTAGGCTTCATGGGAACTTACTGTGGGTGCAAACAGACCACATTTTGTAAACGGAATTGTGATATTTAATTTTATTTTATAATGAAAAATGAATTTAATGTGCAATTTTTTAAGTTTACTAGATGTAAGACAACTTTTCATTTTCTTTATATATTGCATGCTTTAGTTTTAATTCTGTTTAAGTTAAGTTGTAAAGGTGAAAATAGGCCTCCTGGGCAACCGAGCACATTAAAAAAAAAATCGGTAACGCGCGTAAAAGCATACCTCACAAGTGGTGTGGAAAATGCAAGAACAAATATAAATGGAATAATTTTCGAAATTATGAAATGGTTATTGGTATTTTCCATCTCAAAGGGGGTGATTAATTTGAACGTTATTTAAGCTGCCTTTACACGGTCGATTTTTGTCGTTTAACCAAAATCTACCCGTGTAAATTGCAATTCAACCGTAAAATGTAAGCGTTTTGGCTAGTCGATATCTTAAGTAAATTTTCCAGTCGACAGAAATCGACCCGTGAAAATGCAACTTCAGGAATTTTTTAATTTTCTATCTTTTTTTTTGCTTGGGCGTCTTTTGAAGATGTGCCAAATTATATTGTCGACTTAAATACAAAACAACAATTTCTTTAAGCCATCTTGTGCAGCAATTTGTTGACCTTATCCTCACGGCTACCGAAATCACCAACCTCAACGTAGTGATTAGCCTTCTTGCGCCTCGGGTTGATGTGTTGAGCTTGAATAGCAACAGGAAGCTGGGGGCTTTCTTGAAGTGAAGTGAATCAACGCACTGAATTTCGTGCGCTTCGCGAAATTTGCGTTCGATCACAAAGCAGAGATTGGGACACGCTTGACCATTCCACGTTTGTACATCAATTCACAAACTGATTTAAGATTTGGATAACCCCATATAGGGGGTTCGGCATACGTAGCATATTAATAGTTGCCTTGCTCAATTTGATGAACACACCGTTTTAATGTGGCGAAGACAGAACTGTAAAACTACGCACTTTTTGTGCAACTTTGTTGATACCGCGGATGCGGATCACAAAAGCCAATTTGGATTTTTCAGGTCCGTCGAATTGGCCGCATTTCTTTGCCACACAGCGCTACTCCATCTCACGGCGTCCATCACGGAGTTTTCTTGTTTGATATTTCTCAGCATGCACCAATTTACGGAGTGCAATCACAGCAGAGCGCTTTAGTTTACGTTTGATCAGGGTAGCAATTTGCTGACCTGCTCTTGCTGAACTGCAGCTTCGACTCGGGGACAGGAGGCAGCTTCCTGGAAGGTTGCATGTCCTTTGCTTGCGGTTTCTTACCGGCCGTGATGGTAGTCCTCTTAACTTGTTACTTAGCACGTTGAAAAGGCGAAAAAAAGTTCGCCAAATGTTTGGAGCACATCGTAAATGAGCCACTCGATTTATAACATTTCTATAAACAATTTAATTAAATACTTTTTATACATAGATATGCTGCAACCATGCACTTACTTTCCCAAATTCCATCCTGCTTATCGGCATAATTTTCCAAATATGCCTGCTACTTCATTACTAATTACTCAATTTTCCAACTGCGCCTTCTTTGTTGGCTCGACATATCCTTAAAAGACATAAATTTACATTAAACAATAGAAATCGCAAAAATTAGCAAATAAAATACTCGCTTTGTTTTGATTTGTTGTCAAATTTCTGAGAAATGTGAATTCACCACGATGAGATACAGAAAGAACAAGGACCAGGGATGTAATTTTAAGTAAACTATTATTCAGGGGCAAGGCGCAGAGCGTTACGTTGCACACAAACGGAAAAAGTGAAGATAGAAAGTATAGCCAACACTTTTGAATGGGTTCCAGTACATGAAGAGCTAATGGAAGTAACTAAGATGCCAGATACTGTAGATATGGTATATCAAATACGATTTAGATATAATTAAACAATAATTATTTTCTATTTGTTTACAAGGATCACGTAGAGGATATAAAAGTATCACCAGAATGGAATGAACATTTTATGGATGATGATGAAACGTCTGCATCAAATGATATCGAATACGAAATAAATATTGATAAAAAACTTAGTACTGACACTACAACAACAACAAAGTTTCTAGTTTAATCGGATAAGGATATGCAGAGCGGCAATAACTTAAATGAAGCTGGGCTGGTCTTATCGAAAAAAGTAAACAACTCAATCTTGCTCATACAAGACCTAAAAACGTAAAGAAAACAAACAAAGTAAAATCCGAGGTGAAAACAAAAAAGAAAGTCAAGGACATGTCTGAGCCGGTGAAGTGTGAAGAATGTGGGAAAATAAAAAACATAAGCAACGTCATAAACCAAAAACTTTTCTTTGTCAGGCCTGCCGTAAGTATTTCCGTTCCTTTTAACTTGTGGACTAATTTCTATCTTTGTTGAATTTACCTTCGCCAGCAAAAACATTTAAGGAGTCATGTGCCCTAAAAAATCATGAGCTCATTCACAATGAGAATCGGGAAAGATTTCCGTGCGACATCTGTAACCAAAGCTTTTTAACTCCGTATACATACAAAAAACACAGGCTAACGCACGAAACCAACCGCAAACCAATATATCAATGTGCTCAGTGTGAAAAATCATTTGTTCATAAAAATGGTCTAACAATCCACGAGCTCCATCACAAGGGAGCTACCATAGAATGCCAAGTTTGTCAAAAACGTTATGTGCGGCAAATAGACCTAGATGTTCATTTACGCACTCATTCTGGAGAATCGCCATTTGTGTGTCACTTTTGTGGAAAATCTTTCATCCACAAACGTATTTTAAATAGGCACATGCAGTACCATGGATACCAAGTAGGTATCGAAACAACGATTCGAGTAAACAATTGAAACAAAAGTATCGAGTACATACTCGTATTTCATCTTCCGATTAAAATGGATCGATCTTTGTAAATTTTAATTGGAGATAATTCAATATTATCAAAATCACCCTCTACCAACTTAATTTTTACATATTTCATCATCATTTTAAATTGGTACTTAGCCAGAAAAAACGAAACTAAGGCGACTATGAATAGCTTTACAGCCCGATTCCGCATCACTGACAAGTTCACCACAGTCACTTTCATGACAGCTAGTCATTGTTCGCTATTCTAGCGCTCTAACAAAAGCTTGTTTTGCAGACAGCCTTGTCAGTTCTAGAAAAGGTGCTGACAGCTGTTTATTGTGTTCATTTTTGAAATTTGTGAAATTGTGAAATTATGGAGGAAGAAATTTTAATTTATGCATTGGCTATGAAAGCCAAGGAAAAAAAAGAAGAAATTGATAAAATGGAAAAATGGATACACTAGGGCTGGGCATCTCCAAAATGCAACAATTTTTATTCTAATATTTTTCCGCCAATTTTGTATAAAAAAATGGTTTATTCAACAACAAATAACATACAAATAAAATTCCTAAACTTT